TTCCTCTTCTTAAATCACTAATACTAACATACCTTTTCCGTTATTAGTTATATTTCTTAGCTCTTTGAGTGGTGTTTAGCTCTAATTTTCCTCGAATTTTAGTCTAACACCTATCTTTCCTGCATGCTCGCGATCGGTTCGGTAACACGCGTCGCGCGTCTTGCGGCAGCGCCCCTCGGTCGGTTGGGCGGGTGGAGGGCTGCGTTTCTGCCTGGGTTCCGCGCGTAACAGGCTTCGGTTTGGTGTCGCATGGGCCACTTGATGGTGCAGTCATTGCATATCAACGTCCAGATACAGCAGGAGAATAAGAAGAGTTTTGACTCAAACAGGAAGACAGATAGACAGTAAAAGGAGAATGACTTGGTAGCTATAAAGCGTACTCAGTATGGTACTGGGCTAAAACTAAAAGGAAAGTATCTAGGGCCGTATAAAGTTACCAAGGTAAATAATCATGGAAGGTACGAAGTCGAGAAGATTGGAGATACTGAGGGACCCTACACGACTCCTACAGTTTCAGAGTATATGAAATCTTGGCTAGACCCATCCGAGGCGAATGGTCCGTCAGGACAGCCGATTGTAGGTTATGGAGGACCGAGAGAGACACGAAGCGGCCGTAGTTTCGTCGCGTCGTCTGTATAGGCAGCCTTCGCCTCTGAGAGAGCCGAGAGCAAAGAAGCGAGATCAGTCGAAATCGAGAGTCAGAGACAATTAGTCATAATTCAGCCACGCATCGTACGAAAATCACACACATAAGTTAAGAACATAACTGTACCACAAATTGTACTTGGAGCTAAGAAATATATATAATGAGTTCAACATCCATACTTATAAATAAATTTCCATTAAGCAAATAAACTATCTACATGCATTTGACTGATTTCGAAATTGATCTTTACCCAAAATAGTCTTGATACGGATGCCAATAGAGACTTAATGTTTTGACGGGAACTTGGTATCCAAACTCTAATAAGGTTTTGCTAGACCAGTGTTCTGGAGGTATGCCTTGTAAAAGAGACACGTCATTCGCAGACCACTTTCTCAGTTCCATTCCTACTTATTTTAGGGCTCCGATTTGTTGATTTGGAATCTCTACTACTCCTTCCCGGGTGGAATATCTTATGTCATAAGACCTTTTCAGCTATCTGTCGCATCCGTCCTGCGACGCGAATGGCTGTGTAAGGAGCGGATGCGGTCCCAAAGTTAACGGTGTTGAGATAGAACTCAGAAATCTTACTGTGTTCATCACGCCAGAAAATCCGTTCATACTGCGCATCCTCGGTATTCATGTCAATCCATCTGTACATCTTCTGAATGTCAGCAGCGAAGACAAACCGATTGAGCCGCCAATTTAGGACTACTACAGCGAGATCGTTTTGGAGCCCTGGCCCGGTGCATAGGATATTGTTGATCGATTTTCCGTTTTATTTTTTGCAGGATGCGCCATATACTACTCTAAGATTGGTGGTGCGGGATGTGCCAAGGTGCAACATGTGGACTCGATTCCATTATCCTTGCTTCTGCTGCTCCTCATTGGTTGTTACTTTGGTCACCTTCCCTAGTTGGAAATACTCATCAATGACGTCTGTATATCTGGTTTGCAGCTCCGGCTGCCTCTGAAATTTCCGTTCGAGCATTTGAAATCGATTTAACGCGATTTGCCCAGCACCTGAGAAGGGTCAAACAACTTCTTAAGTGGTAACCGACTTCTACGATACTTTCCGTTCGGTTGGCGGGTGTGAGTCCGTTTGAAACGCTCCTCACACCATTTTTCCTCTGGAGTTAGCCTGGTGTGGTGGCATCTAATGGTGACAGCATGTGAGCGTGCTGCAGTGGCTCTACCAAAAACTATCAAGCTAAGCTGTGTGCGTTGAGCAATAGGTTGATTCTCCGTTCCTCTGCGGATGTCTGAGAGCAGGAGCTGTGGGATTACATCCACTCCCAGCAATAAAATAATCCGTTGTGATTTGTAGAGCATGGTATAGGCGGGTTCTATTTCGTTTAGAGGAGAGCATTGTGGCAATTTAATGGATTGTGTACGTAACTGCGATGTGAGCGTTTTTATACCCGTACTCAAAAAATTATAATAGTTAAGGGTTATATTAGATTTGTGGTAAAAGTGGATGTGTGCAACGCAGAGAAGGAAACGTTTCCGACCCCATAAAGTATATATATTCTTGATCAGCATCAATAGCCGAGTCTATATAGCCATGTCCGTCTGTCCGTCCGTCAGTCTTGATGAGCGCCTGGATCTCAGAGACTATAAGAGATAGAGAAACCAAATTTGGTTTCCAGACTCATGTGATATCACACTGCTACAAGTGTATTTCAAAATTTCGCCCCACCCCCTTCCGCCCACACAAAGAACGAAAAACTGTGGCAGGCACAGTTTTAAAGATACGATAAAACTAAAAAGCGCAGTAGATCTACCAGATTGCCGACTGAACAGATTGGTCATAATTATAGCCAGATGAATAATTCAGTTGCCCCCCCCCCCCCCCCCCGCCCAAACCCCAACCGAGTACGGGAAAATGCCAATATCTAACCAGATTGCCAAATCTGGTAATCAGATTGGATCTAAATTATAGCCAGAACTGCCCCTAAGACCACTAATTTTCAGGGTTCTCAAAATGACCAAACGCACGTACCACATCTAATTGGCCAGTGTAGCAGTTGTGGATTTTGGCCAGGGCAGTGGCCCGAAGGACAGTGCGGGGCTGTGCAGAGTCGGTCGCTGCAGACACCCGAACTATTGCTGGGGAAACCTTCCTGAGGCTGTGCCGCCACATGAGTAGGAGTTGGAAAGTGTAGAAGCGTATGATGTCGTTTCCCACACTGTACATTTTGCAAGTCCATGGGAAAGGATCAAACAGTTGAGGCACGCCTTGCCATGTTCGACGATGGCCTTCCTTGCAAAGCTGTCCTTAGATAAAAAGTCCGGGAGACGGCTAAGACTATGACGGTCGCTATAATGAGGGCAGCGAAGAGGTTCAAAAGATCCGGTCGTGGTGTGGAAACTGTTGCCCTTGCACGCGTTGCCAAATGCCTTTGACTTTATAGGTAGCCACGTTGTCGATTGGCATCGATTTTCAATCACATCATTGCTGACGATCCGGTTATTGAGAAATGATTCCAACTACGCAACGAGATTTCACGCTGTCTCAAAGTTAGTTTCCGCAAGAGCCATCTGATGAATTTCCTCGTCACGATCCGAAGGAAGCGCTTGCTTAAGGAAATGAAACCTTTGGATGTCAGATAATAACCAGAGGCTGGGTTATTATGGATGAGCTGAACAAAGGCATCCCGAAACGACGGCCAATCCACAAACTTGCCTGCAAAAGTTGCCAATGCCGATGTGTTGGTTGGTCCTGGAATCTGCAACGGAGACAGCGCCTTTGAAAATGTGTGTTTCGTAGGCCTCTGATATGGTACTGACAGCCTTGGTATAATCCTCATCGGATCGACACGATACCTCTTCAGACTCGTATGTATGCGTACTTGTACTAGTAAGCGTTGACGATTTTGTTCAAATTCACCTGAAAACCTTTGCAAATTTTGTGTGCGTGTTTCAAAATACGCTTTGGTTTTCCGATCTGCGCTGTCCTTCTTGAAATTACGCATCATTTTATTTACTCTCTACGCCGCGCCAGTGTGGGCGGAGGCCGCGAAGGTGAAAAAGCAGCGCTGGTCATCGCCGGGCAAATTCCTCTCTGGGAGTTGATACGGGAGAGGACGGAGATATACGACGCCACTCAGGACAGAGAAGCGGCTCACCACGGCCAAGCTGAAGGTTGCTGCCAGAAAGAGAAGCTTGGAGAAGTGGCAGTCACGGTGCGAAAGCTCACAAAAAGGGCGCTGGACGCACACCCTCATCCCGCGCATAGCGAGGGGTGAGCGGAAGCACGGGCAGGTAGATTTCTACCTCACCCAGTGTCTGAGCGGGCATGGCTGCTTCCGCGGCTACCTCAAGCGCTTCGGCTTCGAGACGGTGGATTGGAGTGGAGTGTGGCACTGGCATAAAGGAAGACAAACAGCACGTCCTTTTCCAGTGCCATAGGTTCGGCTACGAGCGGCAAGAGTTGGAAGCCGTTGCAGGGACAAGAATAAGCGTGGAAACGCTGATGCTGGCTGAGCCGAGAGTATGGGAAGCGGTCGCGGGTTTCGCCTGTAGCGTTATGAGAACGCTAAGGCGGAAGGAGCGGACGGCAAAGGTGTCCTCGCGGCGGCGAAGCCATGCCTTGCGGCAGTACCGCCCGACGCACGACCCTTACCCCCGCAGCCCCTCGGTCCATCACCCTTATTGTACCTTATTGTTCGTAGTATTTGTTACTAGGTGTAAGCTACATTAAAGTTAAATTAAGTAAACGAAAAAAAAAAAAAAATTCTCGCAATAAGATCTGTTTGAATAACACTGAGATTGTCGATATCAGCCTGATCATTGACTTTGACTTGTGGGGCCTTTGATGATCACATATTGCTGATATATAATTTCTCACCTTGAAGTTGCACCACACATGCACAACGAATGGCAAGTGGCACGCATGGCAAGTGATTCTCTTACTGACTCCTTGCTTAGCGCAGCATAAGAGACTTTGCTGATCGTTGTTTTTGCTGTCCAAACGTAGAGAAGAAGTGCTGTTGATGTGAACGTGCCCAGAGACACCGAAGGGGAGGGTGTGAATCAGAGCTCTCATCTTGTCTTCTTTGTCCGGATTCGTGCACAAGATGGCGGCTGCCATATAAACCGTTGGTTTGCGGTGCGTTTGCCTTTGCCGTTGCAGCTGGTAAAATATGATTTTATATGGATAGATGATGGAAGAGTAAATCGAATTTCGGATCTTGAGCGATCAATTAATAATAGCTCGAATTAAACATTCAGGCCACCAGAAATGTTGTAACATTCTCGTTTTTAAACTTCAATGTGGAGCAAACTGCTCTGGGGAACTTTAACGCTTAATTTTGCAATGAGAAAACGACACGAGTATGACTATTATAACTTTAATTCTTATACAAATTCGCAGGTTACTTCTATTGTACAAAATCTTTAATATTACTAGAAGATTGGTAAATTTAATGTTCTAGTCGGGCTTAAGCGCAACCGGCTGCGGGTTCTGTTCGTCGATATGTGTACGACCAAAGGCAAACGAAGACTCTCTTCCGCGGCAGCGATGTTATGCTGATTTAGCATAGCTAGACATTTCTAGACGAAGGCGATCTAAGCTAGAGAGAGCTTTTACTCCCATTCGACACTGCACCGTTGCTGTGGTTTAACCCTAAAAAACATGTGGACGCATTTAATTTTCACTAGGACATGTAAAATGAAAATTAACTAGGTCAACGTAGAGTAAATAATTAAACATTTTGATAAAAAAAATTAATTTATTTTTATTTAAGAATTCCCTCGTACAACCGAAAATTTTATCTTTTTAAAGAAATTTAGTATTTTTCGAGGAATACACTTTTCAGTGATTAGCTTTGTTGTCCTTGTAAAATAACAATGTACTTTAATAACTTAGAGATTTTAGTTTTTATGTTGTCAAATCAATAGAAATGATGCGCCCACTACTGTTGAAAGGCTGGGCTGCCGAAAGGGATTCAAATGTATTACTGTCAGTTGTTTGATTTATTGGTGTCTTTTCGGAAGTAGCTGAATGTGCGTACCAATCAGTAACAGCTATTAAATTCTTTGAAAAATTGCAGTTCTCTTGATTATATTCTTTTGGGTGAATTTGAGAATCAGAAAATGTATTCGATGTATTTAAAGAAGTTACTAATGACTGATTTAGTTTCGAATCGCCAGCGCAGCGGCTTAAAACTGAGCTAGCCTTGTAATTGGAAAATATATATACAGATTGTTGAAGTGGCTTGATGGAGTTATCCGCTAATGTTTGTGGATCCGAATGAAATTTTGTTTGGCTTAAGACATCAGTTTTTTTACTGGTCAGTCTGTTTTTATGCGTAAGTGATATTATAGCAAGTGCGTCAGAACCAAGTATTTTCGGATATAAAATAGTTTGCTCTTGTTGCTCCTCATCTGATGAGCATAAATCAATAGTGTCTACAATGTCTTGGCTGGATGGTGAAATTCTCCAATTAGAGTTAAGCGAATTATTGCGAGTTAGTCTTATGTTAAGTTTTGTATTTGTAATGGGAATTTGATCTCCAAGGATATGTTCAGAAATTTTTTTCAATCTGACTGAAATCGGACGGCATTGCTTAAGCAACGGAGAATTCAGAAACAAGAAGTTTTGAGTTATATCTCTTCGTTTTCCAAATTGCCGTCTTGGAAATGAATATATATGAAAATTATGTTCGTGGGATTTTTTAAAAGTACAATGAGTGTGGTTAGCACTGGTTTTTTTTTCGAACAATTTTTGTTTAGTACTTGACTTTAAAATTAAAGGAGTATAACAAAATCGGTCAAGACGTTCCTGCCTCTCGGATATATATTCCACAGATACTGTTTGTTTTGTAGACCTTAAAAGTTTCTGTCCTGCGGGAGATGATATTGGGATAAACGAACACCTATTAAATGAATGTACGTTTCGATTTCTTCGCGATGGTAGCCGTCTATTTCTTTGCGTTGAGTCCATGAATACTTCATCACGAAATAAATATGTTTTTTGTATATCATTAGAAAAACGGGATTCCGAAAATTTAGATTGAAGGCTAAAATTCAATAGAAATGCATTCCGTAGTTCGTTGTTTTCATTTTTTCCATCATGTTTTATTTCAGGCTCCGGGGAGTCACAAACTATTACATCATCCTCCATGCAACAAATATTTTCGTGTTCCTGTAATAAATAAAATGAGCAGAGTTTATTATAATTAAACCATCCATATTTATGGATACTAGGGGGCAAGCCCCCAAAGTATTGTAAAGTTTTTTAATTTTTTTTATTGAACATTTTTTTTTTTTAATTTGTATGGTTTTATTTATATCAATTTACAAAATAATATTGTACATATATGATACTCCAAATTATTTTTTTTCATTATCATATCATATCCTTTTGTGTTAAATAATAATGAAATCATCAAGTTATATTATAATAATAAATCATTAACAAATAAATAGAAAGCAAAATAACTAAATAAATAAATCAATACCCTACATATGTAAGCAAAAATCTGTGGGAATGCACCAAATTGCATGCTGTTTTATTTTAATGATAGCCGGAGAATGTGGCATGGTTTGCCGAAAAAAATTTGTGATTTTCATAAATAGGTTCCTCAAGAATCAAAAAATTTGTTCCAAAAGACTGTGTTTGAACGCCTATTTCATTTCATTTCGCCGCAACGCGTGCACCAAATTGCACGTTTGTTTTTAAATGATGCCAGAGTATGTGGCATTGTTTCTAGACAAAATTTTTTACTTTTCTACAAATAGGTTCCTCGAAAATTAAAAATTTATCAGAAAAAAATCTTAAATTTGGTCTAAAAATGTGTGTTTGAACGCCTATTTCATATCATTTTGTGTCACTCTGTAGAACAGAACATTTTATGATAGACCCCCATCTGGAAGGAATCTTTTATTATTCCGCTCCATAAGAAAGGTAGCAAGTCTGATGCTAATAACACTAGTCAACACGATTTTTCCTCAAGGAACAAAACGAACTTTTTCTTAAAGATTTGGGGCTTAGAAATGGTTTGATGATATTTTTTTTTCTATGGCAGAACTTTTTTTTGAAGAATTTTTGAAGTCTGGTATTTTTTTTTTAAGCTTTTTTCAGGGGTAACGCTTGTTTTTTTTCACATAACTCTAGTATCTTACGTCTGGTTGTTAAGAACTTTGCTATTTTGAAAAGATAATTAAAACAAAAGAAACATTCAGAGCCGTGAATCTCTGTTTTTCTCCACAGCATTGGAGTAAAAGTAACTGTCCATACCTAGGACTCGGTAAAACCAAAATTACAGGTCCTTTTTGTTTACTTCATTACCATTTTGGCAGTTGGACCAGCAACGTACCGTACGGTATTTTTCAGGTAAAATGAGTTTTGAGTCGTTTTGGTTAAACGGCTGCAACTTTGCAGTTGATATATACATATATATTTATACATACATGCAATGATACATGCAAAGTTCTATGCAACCAGATATTAGATACTTAAGTTATGTGAAAAATAGAAGCACTACCTCTGAAAAAATACATGAAAACAATACAGGATTTGAAAATTCTTAAAAAAAACTAAACCATAACTCGTTAAAAATTTTTAAATCCCCAAATCTATCAGAAAAAGTCATTTTGGTGCACAGCGGGAAGAAAAAGATCAATTTTGTCGAGTAGTGTAGTCCAAAGCTGACGATATTCGAATCCCTGAAGGTAGATATACGGGAAATATTGTTGAAAATTTATGCAGGTTATCCAGACATTCTGTCGCACACGTACACGTACCTAGCCAAAACGCCCTTTAGCTGGATGCCGGCCACTATGATGAGCTTGACTGACCCCAGGGACTGACTAGGATTACAATTTAGCATTACTATTATTTTAAGTTATGACTTAAGTTAGTTTTATATGTATTTGATATACAATAATATATACAAATTTACATAACATTAACAAATAAAACGAGAAGGAACGTGTGAGTCGTTTCTGGGGACACGACTCTACTTATACCCGTACTCAGTCAGTATATACATTTTTGAGCATGATTTTTTAGAATTTAAAAAAAAATTTTACATTTTACATTTTTTTGCTACATTTGTTATCTACATCTCATCTACAATGTCTATTCTACATCTAACATGTAGTTTGTACAAGTACCATTTAGATTCTACATCTCCTCCGCTAGGGGTTGCTCGCGCACTGAACGCAGCAGAGTGTGCGAGCGAGAAGGAAAATGAGTTGCGTTGTCGTCGGCAGGAGAAGCGACTGAAAATTAATTTCTTCATTCTGGCTATAATTATGATCCGATCTGATTCAGATTCGGCAGTCTGGTAGATATGGGCATTCTCTACGATAATGCGCAGAGAAGGAGGAGGAAGGGGGCGGGGAGAAATTTTGAAATACACTTTTAGCAGTGGGATATCACATGAGTCTGGAAACCACATTTGGTTGCCCTAGCTCTTATAGTCTCTGAGATCTAGGCGCTCATCAAGACGGACAGACAGACAGACGGACAGACAGACATGGCTATATCGACTCGGCTATTGATGCTGATCAAGAACATATATACTTTATGGGGTCGGAAACGTTTCCTTTTCTGCGTTACACACATCTACTTTTACCACAAATCTAATATACCCCTTAACTCGTTTTTGAGTACGGGTATAAAAATAAAAACTAATAAATAATCCACCACAATATTCATTAAGTGTTTTTAATTATATATATGTATGTATATTTATTTCAATAGTTGGCTGAAACATATCTATACTGCCAACTATATACATACATAACATAATTACATACAAAAAATACCACACCCCGTAAATAAATACCGCACTCCATACTAACATACATACTCCGCGCATACTGACATATATTTAATATAAGTTCCGCGATTCCGAGCAATTCTTGGAATCCAGCCACATTTCTCGATCGCCACAACGCCTTAACCCTTCTCCAATGCTCAGCGCATTTTCAGTAATTATTTAGCCAAACAAACACAAGGACACTACAAGAAATAGGTTGAACCACGATTGATCCACAATTTATAATTTAGCCTTTTTTCGTCAACCTTTTTTTGATGTTTTCGGTTTTCCTTCGGTATTTCTCCAGATAGTTTTCCAGCGCCCATCCCCCGCTTTTATATTTTTGACTGCAACTTTCGGTAACGCATACGGCTACTAGGTTTATCTGTATTTTGTCGATCCAAACCGACATGTGGAGTAAACTTTCGTCCGCCTTCACTCCGCAAATAACCCAGTTCTGCTCACGACTGCGTCAAAGAGGTAAACGGGGCCCGAATACCCCCCTGTCCTCCTCCCGGCTTCCCCTAGACTCAGTCTTTTGCCGTGGCCCCCTGGTGATACCGTCTCGGTTGCCACGCCCCCCCCGGCCAACCCGTGACCATCAAGGTTCCAGCTCTGACGCAAACAGATTCGAAAGGCGCCTTCGTCAGTAGCCCCGTCAGCTCTCGCCACTGCACCACAAAGGCTCAACCCGACACCTATGTGATGCTTACGGCGAATGCTATGGGACTTTCGAACAGTGCCTCAGTGACCTCAATGCTCATCTGGCCACAACCACAGATGAATCTGATCTCTCAGCTTTATTTAACGTGGCGGTTCCACAGGAAGGGATTTCAACCACGGTGTTTAATGTGCTTTGAGCAATGCACATGTCACGGTAAATCTGGTACCATGCGCCAATTTACGCCCCAGAATAAGAAGCTATAGCAAATACATAGACACCCATCCTGGTACCAATTCGAAAGTATACTAGTCGGGCATACTTTCCCCCTTGGTGAGGAGTGATCTAAGGGTCTCGGCACCCGGTTGAGATCGCAACTCCATGTGGAGCCTAGCGGCTCTTCCCGCGTAAAATTCAGGGTACCACAGCCACCACGATGCTCCCACTAGTGGGCCTACCTCAATGAACAGCCTTGGACCGCTGAACAACCCGTGATACCGATCTTTAGGTCGGGGCTCTCGGCCCGTCTGTCGCCATTGGGTCCAACAGTTGTTGCCGTCTGGAGAACGCCTCGCCAGCGTATCTATCCAGCAGCTGCATCCTCTCCTGCGAAGCACCACTTCGGAGACGATCTATTCGCCATCCGTGTGCTGCACTCCAAGTCCATCGAGGTCTCGCAAATCTGTATAGAGTGGACAAACACATAGAACATGTTGCCAATCCTCGCGCTCTGCGCCGCATAGACATGCAGGCGTGTCGCTTCGGCTTCTCTCATGCATAAATGCATTAAGCGATCCATGGCCAGTCAGCAGGAGTCCAGCGCGCAGCGTGAAGCCAAACCTTGGCTCGCTGTAGACAAAGCTTGCGTTCGGGATGAAGCGGTGCGTCAACCGACCTGGGGAGTCGCCATCCTCCCATCTGCGTTGCCACTCGCTCAGCAGGCATTTCTCTAGTCGCGCCATCTTCTGCTTCCAGCTAAGATTTGCCAAATCTTCGCCGTATTGCCAGTCGCTCTCCTCCAGCCGGTAGTCACGCTTGAGTTTGAATCTGATTGCCAGGCGTCTGGCCTCTCCGGCAATTCGGATGTCTCCCTTACCACCTCTTCCTCGAACAATCGCCAGCGCGCATTGGAAAGCTTCCAGGACGGCACAGGAGCAATGCTCTCAACTGTGTCGGTCAGATCACGCGTCACCTCAACATGGATCATTTTGTGGTCGCTCGTATCCCATTCCCTCGAAACGTTGTGGCCGCCCTGTCCGCACCGGTGGCACACGTTCTCCTTTAGGCGGCACTGGGACACCTTGTGGTCGAAACCCACACACCTGTGGCAGGAATCCCCCAGGTTCTTGGTGAAGAGCTCCTCCATGAACTCTTTAGGCGTGATGGACGTGTCGACGTCATACACCACGACCTGAGGCCTGGTCTCCGGGCTCTTCCTCACTTCCAGTCCTGCTTCGTGGAACTTCGCGCTGTCCACTACCTTTTTGAGCTCACTAACCGAAGGCGTGCGCATGATCGCTCCTCCGCTCTTCAGCTTACGAACCTCGTGCACTCGACTCCGAGTTTGGGCACAACGTCCTTCCTCACTCGTTCCACTAGTTGCTTCCCCGTCTCCTCCGGGATCGTGCTCTTAATACGAGCCGACCAGGTTTCGCGCGGCCTCGCGATCGGTGGGGCGACAGCGCTCGGTGCCGGCAAGCCTGCCGCATACGTAGC